TGGGTATCATTCAAAAATTCAGATACTGTTACCTATAACTTGACTTTGATACTGGTTCCTGAATGATACTTTTTTAATACCAACTTTATAAAATCCATTCAAACAAAAAGAAAACTACAAAACAAAACTTATTTTAAAGCTCCTTGGCACTGTAACACAATGAAAGCAGTTCCATAATATAAGTATAAACTTGCTTACCGCATGGTTTAAGTCGTCTGTCTCAACAGTTTCAGTTCATTAGTTCAACTTATTGTCATGCAACAGTTCATATACGGTAATATCCTTTGAAGTAGCACCCCATCAATTATGTTACCGACTTAATGTACAGTTACATAGGTTAGGTTAAGGAGAAGAAACATGGTGAGGACGTGCTTTAAAATTACTCAAAGTATTGAACATCTGTCTCCTGGGGGAAAGTCCTGTGTTTTGTGATCCATCCACCACCTCAACCTGCCTCCCATCTAATTGGTGACGTGACTGTGGCCTACCCAAAAATGTGGGTTATACACAAATCACTGGCGCTTGATTTGGTGGGTTATACCATAAAACTTCAGTTAAAAGCCCAGTCCCTTTTGCTAGCCCGGTGTGGCTACGCATTTTGATTAGCAGTTTATTTTTTAATAAAAGTTCTTCAGATATATAAAACCTGGTTGTTGGCTTCCTCAAATTACGTGTCCATTCCTTGATTACCCTGTAAGTTATTCATATTCCTTTAGTCTGTAAGGGTCCTTAGATCAAAAGAATCAAAAGTTTTTCATAAAAGTTAATCCAAACTGTGAGTATTGTTTTAACAAGATGAAGTGGTGTTGTATCTGTATGCTGGGTGTTGTAAGTCACCCTCTCTACTGTGCTGTCTGTCGGTAGCTAGATCAAATGGATACTTCATAATTGATATGTTATCTGAAGCCTGATTTTTACACATTGATACATTTACTTCTTCAGCATCGAATTTAGGGAGCAAATGACAAGCCATTTTTTGGCTCAGTAAAACTGAAGCAATTCATTTAGTGCCTTTAATTATCTAAATTCAGTACTCAGCCTCTCTAAAGCTTAGAAATGGTTTCAGCACTTAGCTGCTCCTAAAACACAAACTGACATTTTTACATTTCTTTTTGTCCAGGGCTTAAACACAGGAGATACAGTACAGGCCAAAAGTTTGGACACACCTTCTCATTCAATGCGTTTTCTTTATTTTCATGACTATTTACATTGTAGATTCTCACTGAAGGCATCAAAACTATGAATGAACACATGTGGAGTTATGTACTTAACAAAAAAAGGTGAAATAACTGAAAACATGTTTTATATTCTAGTTTCTTCAAAATAGCCACCCTTTGCTCTGATTACTGCTTTGCACACTCTTGGCATTCTCTCCATGAGCTTCAAGAGGTAGTCACCTGAAATGGTTTTCCAACAGTCTTGAAGGAGTTCCCAGAGGTGTTTAGCACTTGTTGGCCCCTTTGCCTTCACTCTGCGGTCCAGCTCACCCCAAACCATCTCGATTGGGTTCAGGTCCGGTGACTGTGGAGGCCAGGTCATCTGCCGCAGCACTCCATCACTCTCCTTCTTGGTCAAATAGCCCTTACACAGCCTGGAGGTGTGTTTGGGGTCATTGTCCTGTTGAAAAATAAATGATCGTCCAACTAAACGCAAACCGGATGGGATGGCATGTCGCTGCAGGATGCTGTGGTAGCCATGCTGGTTCAGTGTGCCTTCAATTTTGAATAAATCCCCAACAGTGTCACCAGCAAAACACTCCCACACCATCACACCTCCTCCTCCATGCTTCACAGTGGGAACCAGGCATGTGGAATCCATCCGTTCACCTTTTCTGCGTCTCACAAAGACACGGCGGTTGGAACCAAAGATCTCAAATTTGGACTCATCAGACCAAAGCACAGATTTCCACTGGTCTAATGTCCATTCCTTGTGTTTCTTGGCCCAAACAAATCTCTTCTGCTTGTTGCCTCTCCTTAGCAGTGGTTTCCTAGCAGCTATTTGACCATGAAGGCCTGATTGGCGCAGTCTCCTCTTAACAGTTGTTCTAGAGATGGGTCTGCTGCTAGAACTCTGTGTGGCATTCATCTGTTCTCTGATCTGAGCTGCTGTTAACTTGCGATTTCTGAGGCTGGTGACTCGGATGAACTTATCCTCAGAAGCAGAGGTGACTCTTGGTCTTCCTTTCCTGGGTCGGTCCTCATGTGTGCCAGTTTCGTTGTAGCGCTTGATGGTTTTTGCGACTCCACTTGGGGACACATTTAAAGTTTTTGCAATTTTCCGGACTGACTGACCTTCATTTCTTAAAGTAATGATGGCCACTCGTTTTTCTTTAGTTAGCTGATTGGTTCTTGCCATAATATGAATTTTAACAGTTGTCCAATAGGGCTGTTGGTTGTGTATTAACCTGACTTCTGCACAACACAACTGATGGTCCCAACCCCATTGATAAAGCAAGAAATTCCACTAATTAACCCTGATAAGGCACACCTGTGAAGTGGAAACCATTTCAGGTGACTACCTCTTGAAGCTCATCGAGAGAATGCCAAGAGTGTGCAAAGCAGTAATCAGAGCAAACGGTGGCTATTTTGAAGAAACTAGAATATAAAACATGTTTTCAGTTATTTCACCTTTTTTTGTTAAGTACATAACTCCACATGTGTTCATTCATAGTTTTGATGCCTTCAGTGAGAATCTACAATGTAAATAGTCATGAAAATAAAGAAAACGCATTGAATGAGAAGGTGTGTCCAAACTTTTGGCCTGTACTGTATATTGTGTTAATTAGTGACCTTTAGAGGTGCTGATATTATTTTTTGGACGGAGCCAGGCTGGCTGTTTACCCCACCTTCTAGTCTTTATTCTAAGCTAATCGCCTCCTGGCTCTGGCACCGTATTTATCACACAGATATGAAAGTGGTATCAAATTTTTCATCAAACTGCCTGCAATACAGCGAATAAGAGCATTTCCCAAAATGTCAAATTATCCCTTTAACCAAGCCTGAAAGCCCACAGGCTGTTATTTCAAAGCGGGATTTTTCAGCCTAATCAACATCTTCAAAAGCACACTTTGTCTGTCTGTTGCCTCTCTTTAACCTTCAGCAGTTTGTACAAACTTATGCTTGAATTCTCCATCCATTTTATCTATTTTCTACCGCCGCTTATAAAGGTCTGACAATATTCCCAAACACGATCAGCATCTCTCCCCTCCTGCTGAGAACAATCTGGACAAGACCTCTTTTTATCTGAGTCATCTGACAGTTTGCCAGAATCACTTTCTGGCAAATCGAAAGTCCTTCTTTAGTGGCCTCACTGAACTCTGCCCACAGAGTCCCACCAGAGCTGTGACTCTCCACCATGCTGCAGAAAATGTAGTCCTTACCTGATATACAGTTCCTTTGGGCTAAAAAGACTCCATCTTCAAGCTGCCTTCAACACTGTTTTTCACCCTTGGTTTAAAGGGATAGTCAGGATTTTTTGAAGTGGGGTTGTATAACCGCGTTTCCACCACACACTTTCAGTATAGCACCCCTAGAACCGGTACAATACCTGTACGGAAATGTACCTTAAAGCTAGATCTGTTTAGCATTTCCACAGTCTCTTAGTGAAAGCTTACCAGCTCTGAACC